AAATCCCCACGCAGGACAACAGCGGTCGCCTTGATCCTGTTCACCCTCGACGCTCCTCTGCAGCTGTTCGGTTTGAGGGTCCAGGGTTCCGATGGCTTTCTAATAGGTATGCTCCCACTCCCGAAAACCAGCGAACCGAGCTCTTATTTAAACCACAGCCCTGTCGAAGCTCTGCATGATCCCTCAACCCGTGCTGTGGCTGCATTAATTAAGAAGATCACTGCCAGGAGTATGTGGTTTGGGCCACGTGCGTGGATTGGAAACGCCTCTAATTGGCATGCTGGCGCCTGGGGATATCGGTGCTCCTGAGCTGAAAAAATCAACTCTGGATATGCTACTGTTGCACGCATGCAATTTTCTCTCTTTACTGACACACTGCTCCGTTAAAGTTGCACTGTGTCCTATGCAAGACATGGTGCTCGAATGTCACAGAGGGTTTAGGATGGCAGTGGTAATGGAGGCATACCATACGTTTATATAATAGCTGCGATATAACAATGAACCTGGCAATGCTCGCCGCTGTCGTCGCCTTCATGCAGAGAGAGCTGCCGCCAGATCCAGCGAGGAGAAACGATTTCGTTCCTTGGCTTAATTTAGGGTCTAGGGTTCCAGTTTAAAGGTTTTCGTGGTTCACTTATCACTACGGTCTCTTAGGCAACCATAACCTGAAGCTCAGGTTGAACACTGTGCTGGCGAGGGAAAACTGACCAAAGGCTTCACTCTGCTAGGCTACAGAGGCAAGCGTTTCGATGTGCCTCGGATGCAATGTGATGTTGCACGTGATGTTGCACACGGTTCCATTAAACATCTGCCACACCCGCTGGGCTCAGAAAACATATTCTGGGAATCACGACTTCATGCGGACGGTGGGCTTCCTGGTGCTGCTCGGAGCAGCGACTTGGCCGGGTTTAAAGCTCAATTGTCGTGTTCCAGTCTCGCAGCATATCGAGGTTATGAATGCAGCTCCGCATGGCTTCCTTATGTGCGCCCCGCCGTGCGGCAGTTGGGTTTTCATGCAGCTTGTCTATAATTGTATGCCGGCCGCCCACCCAGACTCTGGATCCTCCGTCCGAGGTCTCAGGCTGCCACGGGGCGCCGCCTTCACTTGCCCCAGGGCGACCACTTCAAAAAGTCCGTGCACTTTGCGAATATGTTTCTGGAGCGTCTCTGCCATATTCTTCGCATTGCCACGCAATTGAAAGTATTTTGGGCTGTGGAGCAACCATCCAGCTCTGTGACTCTGATGCCAGCATTAATAAGAGCTGCAGGGTTTGGGGATAAATGATCGACTTGGCTGCTGTCGACATGCAGTGGCTAAGGTCCTGTGGCACATGCCGTGTATGAGAGCTACTCTCAGGGCCTGTGGTGCCAAGCGGGTTAAATTCTGGATGTGCTCATATGGTGCGTCTTCGCTGAAACCCACTGTGCTCCTCGCCAGCTTAGTATTAAACTGCACGATGGCAATCATAACTCTGAACCCTAGCAAGGATCTGGTCTACACTGCCCAACATCGAGAAGCTCCGAAAGCCGCTGAATCTGAAGGCTGCAAAGACCGCTTTCGCTGCAAGGACAGTGGAATCCCGAAACCCACAACCCGAACCCTGATGCTTCAAGCCCTGCACCAAACAGCCCTACATCCACGCTTCGATGGCAGGAACAAAAGACTTCAGATTGTGACAAGGCGTGTTAATGCCTCTGGAAAGAAAACTGTTGTGCCTTGGCTACCACAGTTTAACTAGAGATGGAAACCCAAATCCCGGAAGCAAGCAAATGCCTAGTCCTTTGATCCGCCCCGATCGAGCTAAAACCTTGATCCATGAAACACCAAAACTCAAGTCCCAATCCAAAGCCCCAAACCTGAAAGCCCAGACCTATAAACCTTGTCATGTCGCTACTCGACATCTAAGACCGGTGGCAAAGATCTCAAGAACACGCAGAGCTACACGCTGAATTTCGGCATCGCCGTTGCCGAGCTGTGCCAGGGCTTCTATAATCAGGATTTGTTAAGTCCAGGGATATGAACTGTTCGGAAGCCTGCTACTTGGCTTCTAGGGGCTATGGATCTC